GCAGTTTTCCTGCTCCTCTGATGCTGCTTGGCCTGCTGTGTTCATCCAGCTCTACACCTTGTTATCTCTGGAACTATAATAATATTCTTTCTATCTGAGGGAACAAGCTATGAATCTATGAAGTTATTAATTGGTGAGGGAAAGCACTCAAAGTAGCTATCCAAGGTCTTTAAAGATTCTTGTGTGAATGTTATCTGGTCTGGCAATCCAACCCTAAGGTGGTATCTTCATCTATTTTGTTGACACTTTTATTGATGGAAGCACAACCTATGGTTATGTTATATTAAGGATGTTTTCAAAGGTAAATACCAATGCAAAATATCCATTTAATATCCCTGCCATGACTTCCAATGGCCAATAGTAGTCTTGAATAGTCAACAGGAACATACTATCAACCCGGATTCTTCAACCAAAATAACCAAATTTACAGATGATCCCCAAAAGAAATTGTCAGAAAGATTCCACTTTTTTGCATCTTCTACTCTAAAATTAATGATACTTTTATCCAAATAAAAAGCTAATTTCCCTTTAATTATTCATTCCAATAAAGCTTTGTGCTACACAACCAAAACCAATCTCCTACAGCAGAATGCAGCTGCACAGTTCCACAATGTTGTTCTTTATTCATGCAAAGTAGGTCAAGAGTCCTAACCAGCAATAGTTTTCATCAGTAAACTGTACACCTAAAAACCCTCTCTTTCTTGGTGAAGATAACCCTAACAGTGTAACTTTCAGAAGTTCCTTTTCAACCAACTAGTCAACAACACTCTGCTTTATACTTCGGCCACTGTGGAAAATTACACAATGCTTTAGCATCTCTGAACTATTCATACAGATTTCCATGATTTGACTGCTTCTCAGCCAGTTCTCACATTGCCTCCAAGAGCTCCAGTCTCCTTTACTGCACAAAAATACTGAATCTTTTCTGAGAATGATTTGTTTATTTGTCTCACAAGAATTTCATCACTATCTTTGCACCAGTTGAACGTCTTATGGGTCCCTTAAAAATACTGACTCGTGTTTCTTTCTCCATGTCTCTGTGTATCGTGTCTTCATATCTACATCCATACTTTTATCCTCTAGCCTCTTTGCTTGTAGCTTCTCTTTTTGTCTTCAGCTCGCCTTTGTGTTTGGTCACATAATCCCATAGTTTAACTTCTTTCCTGTTTGCACTGCTTCCAGGTCAAGGGCTCCAAGGTTGCATGGATGAGTATTTGTCATTATTTAAAAAATGTACACTTGATCCTTTTACAACTGATGAAAACTCTTAAAAATCTTTTTTTGACAAGTCTCAAAAACAATTACAGATTCTATGGGCAGTTCAAAGAAATTAGTATTTTCCTTACTGTATTGTTTCCTGGTCAAAGGCAATCACATTCAGGGAGTCAAATTGTGTAATTAAACCACAGTCACAGGCAGAGTATAGGATGTCTGTTGGGCACGTTTCCCTACAGCTGAGATTCAGCATCCCAGGGAGCTCGGGAGATCATGATAATTTGACAAATGCAATAGGCACCATTCTTATAAGTAAGATTCTAGACAGATATATGAATTGAAGGGATATGACAAAAATGATTGGATTTTTTTCTTGTTAATCATAGCGGATTGTTGTAATAGCATAAGTTGCACACTGTAAGAAGATTATAGGATAGCACAACAAACATTTTGCTTCTCCACAGTAAGCTGAGATTTAAACTAGAATAAAATTTGCTTTTTGGAACAAATATAAAGATTCCAGTTGAAACAGGTTTAGACTGTGGCTACCCTGTGCAAACATGCATTTGCCCCCACACCAATATCACCCCCAATACATGTAATCATTTTCAAAATAAATACACAGCAAAATGCTGCAGAGGTTGGGGATCTTAAATAAAAACAGAAAATGCTGGAAACTCTCAACAGATCTGGCAGCTTCTGTGGAGAGAGAATGTGCCAAAACCTCGGGCCAGTGACTTTATATCAGAACCCAAAGCCATGGGTTCCAGGTTCTGACCAAAGATCATTCACTGAACCATTAACTCTGTTCAACACCGTCATTCTCGCTCACATGATCTCTGATGCCCATTACTGTGATACTATTCATATTGAATAGAGTAGGACACTGTTTAGCTCGGACAATGCTATGATAAAATTAATATGATACAGTTGTGGCTTTTTACCCTTCCCATCAGTAGACAGAGTCTGTTTGAAATGAGTTTATTAAAAGGCAGAGCAGCTTGGGACCAATCCACTCAGCTAAATTGACACAGACAATGTAGGACGATTAGAAAAAAGATGTAACGGAAATAGATTTTTTCTAATATGCATTTGATTGAATGATGAATTATGTGACATGTTTTCACTCACCTGGATACCACCAGTGGAAGAATTAACATTTTTAGCATCCTCATCAACAGCTCACCAGGGAACTGGAAATACTTGATTTCCTAAAAAGTCAAATGTATAAAACGAGGGATTGGACCCATTAAAAACCTGGTCAAACATTTACAATATGGACTGAAGAGTTACAGAAATACAACTTGAAATGAAATGTCAGCAGATCTGGGTAGCTTTTACATGTTCAGTTCTACTTTTTATTACTTTTGAGCTATTTTTGAAAAATGAAAGGGAAAAATAAGAGAAAAGAAGCAGCCAAAAAGTTCCCAAATAATTAGCTCATTTTACATTCTAATGTTATGTGGAATCTTTGGCCACAAAGTAATCAAAACAAATTTCCATGATTGAAATATAAATTATCGATTGAAAAAATACTCCATTCCCATTCCCAATTATCAGCCGTACATGTGATTTGCTTTGATTGCTGCCACTGACTGATGGTCAAATCCTTACAGAATTGCCCACCAGGTCCTACAGCATCCGAGCAGCAGGTCAGTCAACGTTTCGGGTCGAAACCCTTCCGCAGGACTGACGAAGGGTTTCAGCCTGAGATGCTGACTTACCTGCTCCTCGGATGCTGTCTGACCTGCTGTGCTTTTCCAGCCTCACACCTACAGACTCTGGCTTCCAGCATCCGCACTCCTTATTGTCTCCTTATAGAATTGCCCACCTGTTCGGAGAGATGCCTAGTCCTAAGAAAAAATCCCAGGGAGCACCCGATAATAACCGACAGGACCGAGAGAACGAGCAGACCGTTCCTTTTAAAGACACCTTTGATCTGAATGGAGACTGCTGCAAATGCTCCAGCCATGGTGCTCGGGTTTGCTGGTACAGGGAAGACCGCTAGTCCATGTGGATGTCAATAGAGCTGTGAATGCTCGCTGACAGGGGCTCAGCTCACTGACCTTTCCACACATGGATCAGAATGCCTCTGATCTCCGAGCCAAACTTCGTCAAATAGAAAGCACGAACCAGCTGCCATTATTATCCCACACGGATGTCTCTGATCCTATGATCAGAGAGTTCATTAAGTATCAAATACGATTATTGAATACTAAGGCTCGAGTTCTGCCAGCGCTCAGATCTTCCGGATATCGGAGTAAAGCATTGGAACCGATGCTGGAGGAAATATAAAAATGTAAATGAAAATCACTGGGCAATGGGGTCTTGTTTTTGAAAAAGGTTATCTCCTGCGGCAGCTTTCCTTGCGATTCAATCCATACCAAGATATTTTAAACTAAAAACGTTAATCTTGAATTTGAAGGAAAGGGATTTGCACCGTTTGTTCCCCATCGAGTGTAGTAGAAACTTGGGGACAAAGAGGCAAAATGTGGATTAGTGGGAAAAGGCACGTGGAATTCTGCTCTTTTTTTGTGTAAACAGGACTGATTATTAACAAAAAACATCACGGAGTACTGACGAATTTGTTTAAGAGACAAAGGCGCAGTTTTAGGTGGCCGAAGACCAACAGGCTGTCAAAGGGAATTTTTTTGAATGGATTTGAAAATAAATGACTCTACCAGTGAGGGGATCAGTAACATGAGGCATGTAGTACATTCAGGATTAGTGCTAAAAGCCTGTATGGGAGCTTACAGCAATGTCTTACATGCAGCATGGAATCTGTTGCCTTATGTTCCTGTTATTGTATTTAAGAGAGAATTGTTTTAACAGCCTAAACATTAGAGAATACTGGACATAGTGAGGAAAGAGGATTATTGTAGATAGCTTCGGTAGAAAAACTGGGATTGGGGCAGGTAAGATGTAACAAATAGACCCCTTCTACACTGGAATGATTGCACCCCCCGCCCCGCTCCCTCCCCCTCCACCATAGAGATTCTTCAAAGATGGTTTCTATCCACATTGCACCTGATTCCTTGTCAAGACCAAAATCTGCCCAATGGTTCACAGAACGCCAATTTTGTTGAATAACCTGTGTGCTTGTGTGCTTAGTTTTAGCGCTTGTGAAAGTACATAGCATCAATTAGACAATCCACATATAACAAACTCAAGCTGAGGAACAACCTTGTTTTCCTGAAAGTATTGGGGTTTTCCAATAACCTCAGTTTCAGAAATAGCAGATCCCTAGAGGAGTATAGAAATTTATCTATGTTATAAATAAAGAAAGGGAGCTATTTCAAAAAAAAGTGGAGGGACATGAGAAAACACGAATGGGTAACATTGAGGAAAATCCGTTAGGGACCAAAGTCACAATCTGTATGTGGAGCTGGAAGGCATAGCTGAGTGTTAATTTAGTACTTTGCATCTCGATTCACTATAGAGAAGGATGATGTAGGTCCGGAATCAGGAAGTGGATTGTGGTAAACTTGAACAAATTATCACTGAAGGAGAAAAGGTATTTGAAATTTTAGCAGACTTGGAAGTGAATAAATTCCCAAACCCCAATGAGATGTAGTCCAGCCTGCTGTGGGGGTGGGGGCGGTGGTGCAAGTTGCAGGGGCTCTGCCATTAACTTTCAAATCTTCTCGAGTCATTGGAGGACAGGATGTACCATTAATCAAGAAGGGTGGTAGAAATAAACCAGAAAACTACAGGCCAATGAGTCTAACATCAGTGGTGGGAAATTATTGGAAAGGCGTTAATCTCCACTTGGAGAGGCATGGATTAATCAAGGCTGGTCCACATGGCTTTGTAAAGGGGACAGCATATCTAAAATAATTGACTTTTTCAGGAAGGTGACTAGATGTGTAAATGGAGGTAGTTCTGTTACTGCAGTCTACATGGACTTTTGTATGGTTTTTGACAAGATTTTGCATGACAGGCTGGTTAAGAAGTTAAGTGCTGATGGAATCCAGGACAATTTGGCAAATTGGGTCCATATTGTCTTAGTGGCAGGAAGCAGGTGATTATCGAATAGTGTTTTTTTGTGCCAAGAAGCCTGTATCCAGTAGCATACCATAGAGTTTGGTACTGGGTCCCTTGCTCTTTGTAGTGTACACTAATGATATAGATGTGAACATAGGATGTTTGATCAGTAAGATTGCAGGTCGTGTGAAAATTGGTGGTCTGGTAAATAGCAAGGAGGACTACAAGATAATATAGACAGGTTGGTCAGATGGGTTAAACAGTGGCAAATGAATTAATTCTGCAAAGTGTGAGGTGATGTATTTTAGGAGGACTAACAAGGCAAGAGAGTACACATTGAATGGCTCCTAGGGCCCTAGGAAATATAGAACATCAGAAGCACCATGATGAACATGTCCACAGATCCTTGACGGTAGCAGGACAGGTAGGCAAGGTTGCAAAAAAAGTATATTGGATACTTGTCTTTGTTAGTCAAGGCCATGAATACAAGAACAAGAAGGTTATGATGGAACTGTATATAGCATTAGTTATGCCACAACTTGAGTAGTGTGTGCAGTTATGGTTGTCACAAAGTCAGAAATCATACGACACCAGGTTATAGTCCAACAGGTTTATTTGAAAACGTAAGTTTTCAGAGCCTCACTCCTTCTTCAGGTGTTAGTGAGGTGGTATCAGACACAGAATTTATAAGTCAAAGATCGAAGGGTCTCACAACTGATGAGGATGTATTAAACAAACCTAAGATGCTGTTAAATCTTTAATCAGTTAGAAGGTTTTACCTGATTAATATGTAATATGTCAATCCCCAAATTCCTTTCATGTCACTGCCCTGACAGAACGAAAGGTTTTATCAGTGTAAAAAAGAGGTGACATTTTCGGTCAGACATGTTAGGTGTGAGACTACAAAGTGTGGAGTTGGAGGAACACAGCAGGCCAGGTGGCATCAGAGGAGCAGGAAAGTTGACATTTTGGGTCGGGACCCTTCTTCAGAAATGTTAGGTGTGAGGCCTTGTTTAGAATCTGTTTGTGTCTTAGTTTGGACTCTGGTTTTATTTCTAAAGTAGGAATTTATAAGACGCCATATTGACTGACAGTCTATAAATTGCATGCTTTTAGAACAAAACAGAATGTATCTGCAAATACATATTCACTCAATAGATTTACGTGTGTGTGTGTGTGTGTGAGGGAGACAGAGAGAGAGTGTGTGAGGCATGGAGAGAGACAGTGTGCGTGTGTGTGTGAGGCATGGGGAGAGAGTGTGTGTGTGTGTGTGTGTGTGTGTGTGTGTGTGTGGGGTGTGGGGAGAGAGAGTGCGTGTGTCTGTGTGTGAGGGGGGAGGTGGAGAGAGAGTGAGTGTGTGTATGTGAAGGGGGGAGAGAGACCTAACATGCATTGTCTGACCTAAAATGTCACCTCTTGTTGAAAGGGATTTGGGGATTTACATGTACATATTAATCAATTAAAACCCTCTAACTGATTAAAGGACAAGGAGGTTTAAAGGGCATTTGGGGATTTTTTTTCACCCATAGGATGATGGATATCTGGAACTCACTGCCTAAATGAGTGATAGAGGCAGAAACCTTCTGGACATTTCCGAAGTATTTTGATGAGCACTTGATGAGCATACACAGCTAAGGGCCAAGTGCTGGAAAATGGGGATTAGAAAAGATGAATGCTTAATGTCCAGGTTGGATACAATGGACCAAGGGGCCTTTTCCATGCTGCATAAACCCCATGATTCTGTGACTGTCAAGGTGCAAGATTTGCATCTATATAGCATCTTTCCTGACCTAATGACATAACAAATTTTTTTAGAGCCAACGAAACAAGCGATGGTCACTGTATTAATGTTGATAGCAAAGTAAACAATAATGTGAAGTTTTTTTATGTCATATAGATTAAGACATATCAGTGACACACTGGGCTAACTCTCCTGAACTTCTTGGATATAGTGCCATGGAACCTTTTACATCCACCTGAGAGCAAATGTCTTCAGTTTAACATCTCATTTGAAAGATATCACCCATGGGGCTGCAGCACTTCCTCAGTACCACACTGGAGAGTCAGACTCCAGGAACCATCGGGACTTCAGTCCATGACATCTTCTGTCAATTCCAAGTTCTGTTTGATGATTATTTTTAATACATTAGCACACATGGGTTCCCCTCTACCCTATAAGGACAATCTCAGGCTGTGTGGTAAAGGTGGTCATGGGGAGGGAGGAAATGAGAAGGAGAATAAATGAGTTGGGAGAATGAATGATTTTTTAAAATTCATTCACAGGGTGAAGGCTTTGCTGCTAGGCCAGAACTTATTGTCCTTCCAATTGCCTTGAGGGCAGTTAAGAGTCAACCACTTTGCTGTGTGTCTGGAGTTATATGTGGGCCAGACCAGTTACGGATGGCAGTGTCCCTCCCTACAGGACATTACTGAACCACATGTTTTTTTTTTACTAACTATTGACAATGGATTCATGGTCATCATTAAACTCATAATTCCAGATTTTTTAATAGAATTCAAATTCCACCATCTGCTGTGGCAGGAATCAAACCAGATCCCCAGAACATTACTTGGGTCTTTGGATTAATAATCTAGCGACAATACCACTAGGCTATTGCCTCCCCCCAGAATGAGAACAAGGAGCGAGTGAACAAATGACTGAGAGTGGAGAGTGTGTGAATTAGTGGGGAGAGAATGAATGGATAAATGAGAGGAAAGAGGGTGAATAAATGAATGAACGAAAGAGGGGAGTGTGAATAAAAGAGTGAATGAGTAGGGAGAGAAATAAGGAATGAGTGGGAAGACAATGAACGAATGAAAGTAGAAGGAGGGTGAACGAAAGTGGGGAGAGTGATGAATTAAGAGCTGAGACAGGATGAAAGCTTGAGGTTGGAGGAAGTACAAGTGAATGAATGAGTGGAGACAAAGTCAATATATGAGAAAACTGAGGGTGAATGAATGAAAGTGCAGAGTGTGAACGAGTAGCGG